ACCTAAGCAGAGTGCATTAACGAGGATAGCAGAGCGGTGGTAATAAGCACCTCACTGGTACTCACGCACTTTTCTCTAGTTCCATCCTCTATTCCTTCCAAACTTCCTAACACTCCTCATCAGCAGTTCCAGCGAGACCCTCTTGGTCCTGGAGATAGATTGGAACACAACCTCTGTCTGTTAGCCACATGGGGGTGGCCCTGCCCTGTGAGGTATGTAACTCTGTGTGGGGGTGAGAGGGTCATCTGTGAGGACCCCAGTCTGGCTTAGTGACTTCTTCATTACCACCTCTAGCTTCTGTGTCTCTTCTGCTCAAGGAACACCCAGCCTGTCCAAGCAGGGCCAACGACAGCGCAGCAACCCCCGCTGCGCTAACGCTCAACCCGTCTCCTCCGCCCTGACCATGGAGGGTTGGCTGCCAGAGCGCCCTGCCAATCACCCTCTGTTCCAAGGGGGAAAGACCGAAATAGACTTCCTCTTGGTCCTGCTCACAAATGGGGACCTGCTGAGAGGCTCTTTAAATGGAAGCGGGAAGGGGTGGGGGCGCTTACCCCGGCTGAGTGTGGGACACGGGATAGGGTGAGGGATCAGTTCTCAGGAGAGATGAGAAGCAGGTCTCAGGCCCAGAAAACGCACATTTCCATGTCTAAAAGCATCTCTGTGGGACACGCGCAGAGACAGAGATGGTAAGAAAAAGGCAAGTCCCGAGGCCCTAGAGACTGAGTGTCCACGCCTGTGCCGAGCCCCCGGCACGCAAAGGGTGAAGCTTTTAGGCGAGCAGCGACCAGTGATCTCAGCTTCCCCCAGTCCTAATGCTCCTGAAAGGCTCTCTTCCACTCCCTGTAATTGGGCATCAGTAGTTAATGCAGTATTGACTGCATTACACGCTCCCGTGCCTCCCCTCACTAATGCCAATTGCATCACCTTGTACAGTCACCGGCTTGCTTAGCCAATAGCCGTTAAAAGCAATCCAAATCATGAATCATATGGGAAACTTTTAGCAAGACACCGCCATCCAAGGAGACAATTTACAGTTGAGTTAATCTGGGTACATTAGCGAGACATGGATTCCGGACGACAGACCAATTTATGTTGTTTCCCTGTCCCCACCCCCTCCCTCCCCCTCAGTGCTCCATGTGGGTAAATGAATGGAAGAGCAGGGGACTGAGAGAAGCACCTGCTTCCTTACCCTGGGCTCCGGGAGGGTGGGGGCGCGGGGAGCCCCGGCTTTACAGATGCTCTGCCTGGCTGAATTTGGGCAGGAAGGGGAAGCAGCTGTACGAGCTGCTCAAGATCTGGGAGGTTTCATTCTCAGCAGCGAGGAGGTGGCTGCCGGCCGCCATGGAGGCGCAGAGAGGCCTGGATGCAGGCCTGGCCCCCACCCTGCCCGCCTTGTGGGCTATTCACTGATCCTTGGCAGGAATGGGCTCCTGAGAGGGAGTGTCAGAGCCGATGTCCCCCCCTTCACTGGCGGGGGGGTTTCTTGTGCACACCAGCAGGTGAGGTCCGTGGGCCTTCTGCACCCGAATAGCTAGGAGAGCCCAGGAGTTTCTTCTGGGTGGAGCAGGGGCTGTAACCCAGTAGCCCAGCCCAGCCCTGAGCCTGCCCATGGGCCCGCTGAGGCAGCTGCAGAAGCCGTGCATATGGAGGTCATTAACAATTGAAGACGCGCTGTCTGGGCCTCCTCAGTCCAACTCCACTCTCCTTGGGCACTTTTATTTATTAAAAATGCTCTAGGATTCATGTCTGGTGCATTCCTCAGCCTGCCTGCCACTTCCTAGGGTCACCCCAGTTTTCCTGTTGGCTCTTAGAAGAGGTGGCTGACACAGAGACCTGGTCTTCACCAGCTTGTCCTCCAGGGGGATTTAGCACGCCTACTCGGATTTTCTCCACGTCCTCTCGAGGTCAACAATTATGACTTCCTCATGCTTGGGCACAGGGCACCTCTGGGGTCTGTCCCTACTCCAGGACCTCTTCTCCACCAACCTGAGGGCTAACTGGACTCTCTGGGCTCAGGGCCATCTCCCTGGGAAGCCCACGGCCTGGAGGCCAGCCCGGCCCCAGTCACAGGAGGTGCAGGAGAGCCGTTTCTCGTGGAAAGTTGAAGCTGGAGTTTCTTTCATTGACAGACAAGGCCTGGCGGCATTGAGCAAGCCTGAACCCTGAGTTCCAGTAACGTGCGGACGGTGAGGCCAAGAGCAAGCATCCAAATGAAAGCAATTAATCTTAAAACCCGAAGTTTAACCATTTGCAAAACAGATCTTCCCTCTGTGGTGGCCCTTCGCTGCTCGACCTAATGGATTACTTTATTAATAATGCACTGTGCTTAAAAGCAAAAAAAAAAATTTTTTTCTGACGATTCAATACTTCAGAAAGTCTCTTAAACCCGTTGCTACGGTAAAGCGATTGATATTTTATTATCTTTCAGAAGTGCAACATGAAAGCCCCGCAATCCAGCAGAGCGAGAGCTTTGGTCCTCGGCAGCTGGCGGGCCTGACTTCAACCAGAGGAGGCTCAGCCTCTCCCAACAAGATGCTGCCAGGAGGAGAAAAGACCTTGGGGTGGTTAATAGGAGCCCCATAGGCCCAGCACAGCCAGACAAAGGGTGCTACATGGCAGCACCAAGGAACACACTTGTTGGGGTCTCTGGGGACCCGTGGCTGCCACCAATCCCAAAGAGCCACTAGCCAGGAGGGGTCTAAGTGCTGGGAAGAAACTAAAGATGTCTCCTTCAGGGGATTCTGGAAGCTAGTGCGGGCCAGACTCCAAGGGACAGCAGGATGGAGGGTATTAATGAGCAAAAAGGCTGCTTTTAGTGGCCAGTTCTGGACTGGGCAAAACCAGAATGAACATGGAACAGCAGCTCAGACCAAACCATCCACCTCCCTTTGCTTACTGGAGGCTGGAGCTCTACTGTGTGAGGGGGGTGCACAGCATCTTGTTTAGCCTGGACAGGGCAGAGGATGCAGAGGGAAGGGACCTCCTCCACAGGTCTAGCCTGGGGGGATTGACGGGCACTGCAGTCTGGAGGCAGATTTTCAGATTTCCAACAATCTGTGTCCATTCACTCAGGGTTCCTCTGAGAAACAGAGTATTGCAGGACAGGGGCATATGGACAGAGTGAGGGGTCAGGGGTATAATGAGCTCAGCTCATGCCCACTAGTGCTATCTCCTATCTGATGCTTCCCATGCAGAAGACCCAGGTCTTCTGGATTTTTGTGACAGGCGCACGGAGCCAAGCATGCCAAATAACCTCTGCAAAAGGCTGGGGCTGATTTCCATGTGCCCGTAGAATGAGGGGTCCCTTTGGTGGGGACGCCAGACCTCTGCCCTGCCTTCTCCAAGCCTTTCATTTTGTCAAGATGGAAAGTCAAGTCAGAATGGGCATGGCCTGGCTAGGTAGCTGGGAATTACTGACCAGAGGGGCTAAGTCCTGGTCTGGCTGAACCCCTGATGCTGTCTTGCTTCATCTCTGCACACTGACCCAGGTGTGCCCACCCAGGCCACATCCATGGAGAGAGAAGAACATCCTGAAGCTCTGGCCACTCTGAGCCCAGTGCTGACCGGTTTGTTCCTTTGGCCAAAAGCATTTAGTTGCCCCTTTCATCTTACAACAGGCGGGCAACAATATGGTCTCCCCATTTTGTCGCACCTTCCTTGCTGGTGCTTGCTGGAGGCCTCAGAAGGTGACCTGGAGGTGAGGGCCAGCAAGTGAACATCCGGTGTGACTGCAAGCAAGTCACTTAACTTCAAATGTTCACCAAGTGACCAAGGCAATAAACCACGGACCCCGTGGGAAAAGGGCACAGGAAGGGAGAATAGAGACCCTTCTAGAAGGTCAGAAGATAGTCACCACAGTCACCCCAAAGCCAAGTTCCTCTCCACAATGCCCCCACCTTGCAGTTCCTCCATCTGAAAGGTTGCCTACCCTTACCCACACATATGTCTATATTTCCACCAAACCAGGCAACCCTCCCAAAAGGCAGAAGGACCTGGACCTGTCGGCCAGTGGTCACTTATAACTCGGCCAGCAAACCTGGGGAGGGGTCACAATTTTCAGTTTTTACATGCCCCTATGGGGCTGGTTCCCCACCCAACGTCTCCTGAGCAGCTCAGGTCACTCCCAATGGGGAGGACTTTTGGGTATGGTGGGGCCACCTTCTAGTGGTGTCCAGCACTCACCGGCCCTCTCTGTTCGGACCACCCACAGTACTGAGGTGCTTGCCCACGGGTGCTTGTCCCCGGTTCTTCTGCACAAGAACTACAGGAAGGCCCCTGGCAGGACACTTTCTCTCTGCTGACCGAACTCGCGCCTCCGCACCGGAGACAGGATGACCGTGGGCCACCCGGGCGGCGGGCGGGCGGTGATGATCCACTCTCACCGAGTCCTGTTCCGCGGGGGGCGGGGGGGACAGCGATTCTCCCGGGCCGTCCAGCCGGCCTGGCCCTCGCCTTAGCCGGGCACCCCACCACCACCACCAAACCGCCTCCCACCGGGGATCTCCAGCCCCGCGCGCGCCCTGGGGGGTGCAGACTCGGCAGCCCGATTCTCTCCGAGCTTTCCCGGGCGCCCGTCGCCTCTCGGGTTACGCGGCCCGGCGCGAGGGTGATGGAAAAGCTGGAGCAAAGCGCCGCGGCGCGGGGATCCGAGTGGAGGGAGCCTCCACGCGGCTCCGCAGAGCATCGCACGGCCGGCGCGCAGCCCGCCGGCTCCGGCGTGGGCCCCGGGGCACGCAGCCCCCCGCTCCCGCACACACACACACACAGACACGCACACGCACAGACATACACACGCACACACTCACACACACACACGCACACGCATCCCGCGTTCCGTCCCACCCGGGGCTCCCCGCGCCCGTCCGCCTCCCACCCCCACCCCACCCCCCGTCCCAGCCCCCCAGCACAGCCCGGCGTGTGCGTTCCCGCGCGCAGCGGCTGGAGGCGAGGGGGAGCCGGACCCAGGGATCCCCCCCACCCCCACCCCGCCCGCCACCTACCGTCCTCCTTGTCCAGCACCATCATCTCGGGCGCTCCGTGTCCAGCCGCAGCTGGGCTCGGCCGGGAGAAGGGCGCCGGCTCCGGGGCGCGCTTCGGCGGGGCGGCCGGTCCTCGGGCTAAGCGAGCGGGCTCTAAATGACCCGCTTGTCCGGCTCTTAACCTAGATTGCACTCAGCTAGAATTACATTCAGGAGTGAAGCACTTCGCAGATACAAAAGCAGTCTCACCTACTTTTGTGCCTCAGAATTGCAAGGAACTACGAACTGCAATTTAGAGAGGGAGAGAGAAGGGGGAAGAGAGGATCAGAGCCGTTTCTTTGATTCTCACCTTCTAAATGGCTCAATTTGCCCAGTATAATCTGTCTTAATGTAATTGCATTTGATAGCTCATAACCCTGGCTCTGGCAACGACACAGCTTTCAGCCTCATAAAGTGTTTTCCCCTTGGATTTAATCTGAATCTCAATCTAAAATTATATTCAAAGAGATGGGGGAATCTCGGCGGCCGTCTCCCGCTGCCTTTCTCCCTCAATGTATGAGGTTTGCACTCCTGCAACTGAATAAATGCACACATTTCCCGAGGCCCCCCTCCCTGCCGGGTTAATGGGGAGTGGAGACGCGCGGCTGCCCGGCTCCGCAGCGCCACCTGGAGGCTGCGAGGCCCCAGCTCGGCTCGCGGCTCCGCTCAGGACACAGTCTTCCTTTCTGGTATTTGTCCAGTGGACCACGCTCCTATGTGATACCCTTGCCCCTCCGCCACGATTTCTCCCCACTCCCACAAGGAGATCTTTCTCTGACATCCTGGTCTGCAAGGGTTTAATGGCTGCTTCCAGGATTGTTTGGCCAAGTTAACCCCAATGGAGCATAAGTGGACACTCTGAGCCTCATGGTATCACGCCTAACCCAAACAGCAGCAGCCCCCTCCAGCCCAAGCTGCCCCTCAGCATTATGCGTCCATAGACAGTGGAATCAGGTCTCATCTCCTCTACAAGCAAACACAGTAGTGCCATGGAGGCATTTCTCAGCCCACAACTATTTATTGAGCATGTATTATGTACTCAGTTTTGTGTATTGGGACTACAGTTGTGAACAAAACAAAGATTCCTACAATGACAGAGTTGACAATTCTTGCTCCCTAACTGAAGGAGGAAGGCAGACAGTGTCCACTTCCTTTTCTCCTAGTTGGGGCTGCTCTCCACAGCCCTGGAGCTGATAGCCAGGATGTCTGTTCTAGGAAGGACACTACTCAGTGTGTGTGTGCGTGTGTGTGTTTGTGTGTGTGTGTATGTACAGAGACCTAGGAGGAGTGCAAATCTGTGTGAGTGTGTGTGTGTGTATGCATGTGTGCGCATGCACAGAGACCAAGAATGGGGTGGAACTCTTGATGGTTTTTCTCTGTGCTAGGAAGGCTCCAGACAGATGGATGTCAAAGGCTCCTCCCCAACAGCCACTTCTGACAACTAGTTCCCAGCAAGCAGATGGAAACTGATGTCCCTGAAGGGGCGAGGGAGCCATTCCATCTCCACCCATTACCAACTGTGGATCTTGGCAAAGTCTCCTTCTTTCTCTGGGCCTCAGTTTCTCTGTGTGTAAAGTGGGGGACCTACTCGGTTATTTCTATGTTTGTTGTGGGGATCAGATAATGGGGGAGGGGTGGCGCCTCTGATCATGGAGGCAGGAATGTTTGGGTATGGAGGAGGCCTTGGGCCAGGCTGTGCCCTTAGGATCATGGAGGCCCAGTGCAGGGTGCACTTGGCAGGGGTGGGGAAGAGAGAGAGCCACTCTGTGGCCCCTCTTCCTCTCTCCTGGGGCGAGGGGGGAGAGCAGGCTTGGAGCTACTAGGCAAGTGGCCGTTTCTAGTGACACATCTCATCCACGCTCAGAGGGTTTCCTTTCTCCTTCATCTTCGCTACTTAATCTGAATAGACCTTGAGTATATTTGATGTGAAATCTAGCACTTCGCTCAGACTCAGGGTCCCTGGAGACCTCGGGCTTGCTCTCGCCCCTGCCTCTGTAGCGGGAGTCCTCCCTGGAAGGTGCCCGAAGGCTACACATCGTCGCTGCCTGCACATTCTATGCTGGCCCCTCTCCACAGCCTGGGCTGGGTGCTGTGGAGGCACCCGGGAGCATTCACTCTGCGATGTCATTAGCTCTCCCGCCCCACTCCAGGGGCTCTGCCCCCACTCTCAGGCTCTTGGGGTTTGGCCCTGACCCACAAACCAAAGATCCCAGTAGCAGGAGCCCTATCTCACTCTCTTGTCCCTAAGCTGTGCTGGGACTCTGCTTCCAGGTCCCACACAGTTGGCAGCCCAAGGAGTAGTTAGGGCCTATGACCCAATCGGGGATGGGAACAGATGGGGCTGGGGGGTTGTAGAGGAAGGGGCTGCAGAAGCAGGCAGGGTGCAAGCGCAGGGAGGGGGGATGGTCACAGGCAGCGCTCCCACGGAGCTCCCACACAAACTTGGAGAAGGTCCCTGTAGAGGCCTCTGGGGCTACAGTGAGCCCCAACAAGCATTGGCAGGTTGGGTGGCTCGAGCTCAGAGCCAGGAAGGGGCCTGCTGAGTCGACAGCACACCCCAGCCTCCCTCTCAGCTCAGGGATAATTGCAGGGCCCCCCAGCTCACGCCTGAGCCCCCAGCTCAGCCTCACCCCAGCAGGCCCAGGGCCGTATCCACAGCACCAGGTGGAATCCTCACACCCCGGGGCCAGGGAGGCTGTCTACACCCGGCATATTCCACAGGTGACAGCCTGCACTCTCCCGCCATTCTGGCACACACTCTCCCGAGAGTCCTGGAAATGCCTCTAGGGACAGCAGAGGGAGGTCCCTGAGCAGACCCTATTCATAGCGTAGAGAAAGGGGTGCTAGCGGCAGCCTTGCAAAGTTGGAGGCAGGTCCTAGCAGTCTGTCTCTGCACCTGGCAGGCAAGTGAGGAGAAAGGGCTCCGGCATGGGGGTGGAGTGTAGTGTGTGTGTGTGTGTGTGTGTGTGTGTGTGTGTGTGTAGGGTTGTGTGTGGGGTGTGTGTGTGGGGGGGGGGGGGCGGGTGGAACCTGGTGCCTAAAGGCCCGAGCAGACCAGATCTTCCAGAACATCTTTACTGTGGCTCTGTCAGATGTGCCTTGGCCTGAGGGTCTTGCTCCTAACACAGAGCAGCTGTCTCCAAGGCCTGGTTATGAGCTGGCCTTCCAGGGGCCGCTGGGAGAGGTACTTGGAGTGACAGGGGACACCCCCCTCCTGATGGACAGTTGCGCCTTTGACATGGTAGGGGCAACCTACTGACTCTGCAGCTCTATCAGGATGCCCACTAGTCAAGTGCCCAGCCCGCCTCCCACACACACAAAAGCAGCTGGGCTGCAAGGCATTTGTGACCAGCCTGAGTGGAGAAGCACACAGTTGGCAAACTTTTCCTCTCTGGGTTTCTAGAGGGCCCTGGAACGGCCTTCTAGGAAGCTGCAACCCGAAAGATTTAGGCCTAGAGAGGCCCCAGCCAAATCTGCATCCTAGGAAATAAGTCTCCTTTGCCCCCACCCCACCCCTCTTGTCCCCCACATAAGCCCCCACAAGGTGGTGGGTGTCAGCTGACCACTGTTCAGACTTGTCCTGGGGCTGGACAGCCTCCTAGAAAGCAGGACTTTCTGTGGGAACTCTGAAGGGTGCTGGGCAAAGCAGGGCAGTTACTCCCTGGAACAGATGACAGGGTAGTACAAGGGACCAGTAGGCAGCTAGACAGACTAACCCCTAGGAGGAGCAGAAGTTCCCCCCTCCACTGCATCGCTGGCCCTCACTGCCCAGGCACTCACCACTGCCCTAGCCCCTAGGCCCATCCAGGGGCATGGACTGTGAATTTGCCCCAGCGACTAGCAGATGGGTCTGGGAGAGTGTGTCCAACCCAGGGATGAACTCCGAGTTTGTGAGAGCCAAGTTTACTTCTGTAGTTGCCCGGCGAGGGGTAGGGGATGAGAAATGGCACACAAGGGTATTAACTTCTACAACACTACCACACCCAAGCCCTGAGACTCCAGCACCGTCAGCGTCAAGGTCAGCCTGGCCCCCAGAGACCTACTATTTGGGATGACGTGGCGCAGCCGCTTCCCAGACCTCATCTCAACCCTTTCCTCAGTGATACAAAGTTCCAGATCCGAGGGACCACAGGGCCATGCCGATTTGACTACACCCTTCTTCCCCTGTACCCCCCTCCACATCTCCCCATTCCCTGGGCGGGAGTCCCCCTGGAGGAGCCGGTCTCGGCCCATTGCAGAGAGGGGTCGTGCAGACACCCAGCGAGGCCAGGGGGCTGGGGAGCAGGGGACACGGCCCGCAGGGAAGTCATCAGCGCGGACCGGGAGGCGCTCCTGCAGCCCGCGAGGCGGCGAGAAAGTTCCGGGCCCGAGCGTGCGGCTCTGGCGGGCTCGGGGGTGGGGGTAGAGGGTCCGCGCGGCTCCCGGGACCCGCCGTGGGACGCGGGGACGGTCCCCAGCAACGCACCCCACCAGCCACCGCGCTTCCGGGAAACGGGCCGGGGCTGCAGGGCTGGGCGCCGGGAGGCGCTGCGGCCAGCAAGGGGTGGCCGGGACGGCGCCCCGCACTCCCACCCCGCGCATCTCGGAGCTCGGGCACCGCGCGCCGGGCACCTACCCTGGTCCTCCTGGTCCAGCACCATGGTCACCCCCCAGCCGGCCGATCCAGCCGGGCCGGGGCCGACGACGCGCGCCGGGGACTGGCCGCCGCTGGCCCGCGCCGCTCGCTCGGCCCCGCGCTCGGAGAGCGGCGGCCGCAGCTCCAGCCCGCGGGCGGGCAGCGTCGGGGAAGCGGGCACGGCCGCGGGGCCGGGGTCGCTGGGGCCGCCCGAGCCGCGCCGAGCGACGCTTGCCCGGGCCCGAGCCGCCGCCGGAGCCGCGCGCCGGAGCTCTGCCCGCGCCCGCCGCGCTCGCCGCCCAGCGAAGGCTGCGTTTCCCAGGGCCCTCAGATTCCCCTGTTAATTAAATCAATTCATTATGCTCAGATCTGATTAGCGGCCCTTCCCCCCTTTGAATCAATTATTCAATACACAAACATAATTGCTTGGGCCAGAGGTGCCCGCCATTAGCTTATTTAACTCCAAGGACACTAATTACCCGCAGGGCACGGGAACTTTTCTCATTAATTCTGACAAAACACAAAAGCACAGCCAGAGTGTGTGCGTGTGAGGGGCTGTGCATGCGAGTGTGTGTGCGTGCGTGCGTGTGTGTGTGTGTGTGTGTGCGTGTGTGCACGCACGCCAGTCTGAGGGCCCAGCGGAATAGGGAGCCACTGTGTGAACTTAAGGTGAGACTGGAGGTGAGGGGGTGGCAGGTGTGCGGTTGCAGCTGAGGGTGGGCGTTCAGGTGTGGTTTTGACCCCCGTGACCGTGTCTCTGTGGGACTCTGCCTGCATGAGTGTGACTGTGAGAGTCTGTGTTGAGTGCGACAGGCTGGAAGCTGCTCTGGGTCTGGGTTTCAGACCAGGCCCAGGAATGTGGAGGAAACAGGGGGTGCTTGTGTGTGACTGTGACTTTGTGGCTATGACCTAGGACTGCTGTCGTGGGTACCCCCACCTCCATTTCTTCTTCCCTAATTGCCCCAGTCTTGCTCTGCTGCATGCTCAAAACCACCTCCCCCCCTCAAAAGTACCAGAATTCCGGAGTGAGGGGAGAACAGGGTAGAATGTTACACCCCCTGTTTGTGTACTGATTACTTTGTCCCCCTCTCTCGGTATTAACTCCCAGGTTCCCAGCCTCACCCTTATTGGTTCAGCTCGATACCTGCCCTTTTATCCCGTAGACCCACGGTCCTCTGCCACAATTTCCGAAAACGCCTGAGAGCCAGGCTCACCGTGCCAATTCTTCTCAGCCTCCAGCTCCTTCCTCTCCTGCTGCAGGGCTGGGGTGCCTATGGTTGACCAACTTCTCCACATTTTACCTCCCAGGAAATCGCTATTGAGAGAGCCCACAGAGGCAGGGACACAGAGGGTAATTGATTCCCCCAAATTAGGTTTCTGCTTTCTAAAGACCCGTATTGTTCCTGTTCTCAATGTGCACAGAGGTATTGAAGATTTCCTTTTTGTTTCCTCAGGCAATGAATGAGCTTAATCCATTTGGCTTTATAAATCAGGAAACTAATATTCGCTCCTTCCTTAGCAGCTTAAAAAAATTTTTTTTAATTGGTGGGGGAAGTGCAGTTTGTCACCCTGATGCTGTAACCCCAAGTCCCCTTGTATCAAAAATGTATCCCGATTGAGAGGTGAAGAGAAAGCGGGGGACAAGGGGGGGCCCATCCAGATTCTTCCTGACCTCTTCCATCCTTGCACTTAGACCCACACTGGTGAGAGAAAGTTGGTGAAACTATTGAATGAGCTATATTTAATTGAGGGAAGGAAGGGGAGGTGTTCAGAGATGCTCTTCAGAATAGTCTTCCAAATCTGGGCTCTCCCTCTCCCACTAGCCCTGGGAGGAGCTAAGCCACAATCCTCCCACTTGTAATTGAGGGTTGGCCAACCACCCCCCACCACCTTCCTTATTCCCTCCTCCCACACATTCTGCTACAGTCATGCACCCAGTGCCTGGATCTGACCCTGCTGTTCTCCTGATCCTCCCGATCCACAAGACAAAGCCTGAACCTTGTATCCAATCATTGCAGGCTCTTCAAGAGATCCAGAGAAACCTTTGTAATCACCAGTACCCTTCGTTACAGTTGAACTGATATCTATTGATCTTCAACAGCAATATTACACTCTCGCCCCTCTGGACTGCTTTACTATAACTGAACATACCCTGTAGGCTCCTATTTCAATGGCTTCCCCCCTTCGCCCCCCGGGCATTCTCTGCTTCCCACCTCTCCAAGTCCTCTGCAGAGAGAGTGCTCACATGTTTTAAATGGCTATGTGGCTGGGAAGGCTGGGTTGTGAGGAGGGGTGTGGACTATTCCATGGAGACCTGGGCCTTAAGCTCTGTCCCCAAGGTCAGGGTTTCCTCCCTCTCCTGGAGGGAAGACTGATACGGTATCTGGAGAAAATGGGAGCTGCAGTGGTCAGGGAAAGCTCTTCTGGAATTTAGATCCAGAGACTCAGAGACACCTTTGGGCACCAGTCCTTTCCCCCCTTTCCTCCTTCAGAATCTCAGATGTCATAGAGCCAGAATCCAGACTGATGCTCCTTCGGAGGCCCAATTTTGGATCTCCCTGTTGGTTAGCTGTAGAGTTAGCGATAGCCACTGCCTAGGCCAGTACAGGCTATTCCCTGCACCAGGGCATCTGGCCACTGGAGCAAGAGGTGGTTGAAAGTTTGCCTTCTTTCTGCTTTCTAGGCCCTGGGTCTGGCATGGCATGGAGTGCTTCCACCCAAAGTGAGGCACTGTTTATTCATTTGCACTAAGGCACCACGGGGCAATCACTGCCCTGCCATCGGACACCTTTGTCAGGCTAGGGTCCACATGTGGAGAGCCCAGTTTGAGGAGGGAGCACCCAAGGCTGTGCTCCTCCCACCCTTGCTCTTGACAAGGGTTTCTCGCAGACCATCCTCCTGCAGGGATCCTGACACATATACCCAGCTCCATCTCTGGATTCCCAGGGGCCCTGGACCCTGGTAAGCATCACTAAGTAGAGATTGAGCCCTGGATAAACGTGCCACTGGATCTCCAGTAAAGGTGATAATGAAGGAGACACAGTGAGGTTCCCAGGGAGAGGTGCAGGAAGATTAGCCTGAGCACCAAGGCCTGGTGCTGATGGGACAATGGCTCCAAAGAGAAAACAAAGCTCGACCTGACCCCTCTCAGCAGCACCCCTATGATATGGCCATGGGGCACATGAGGAATTCAGTGACTCAGGGCAGAGAGCTTTGTTGTAGGAGCCCTCTCGGGAAGAATTGGTCCCTAGGAACAAAAGTTTTCTCCTTGCTGGGTCTAGAAGGACAAGATCAGTTTAACGGCTTGGTGGGATTTGCAGCAGCACATACATGGGATGGGGGCCAAAATGGTAAAAGCAGTGGGCAGCAGCTTTACCCTGAGCACATCTGTCCCCTTACAGCCCATCCACCTGCCTCATGGGATGGTCAGAGAAAAATGACTTCACTTAGAACTCCAAGTGCAGTAGGTTTGGAGAGAACTGGGTTTGCCAGGAATGTGGCAGATCTCAGCACCTTGCAGACAGGGGGATGCTAGGGAGCAGCAGCTGGACCCTTGGAACCGGGCACTGATTACTGTCAAGTGTGATGTGTGATATTTGGTGTTAGTATGGCCTTAATGCTTCAGCTCGTCTTGACTCTGGTGTGGGGAAAGAGACGGACTGGAAGAAGATTGTGGCATAGCCACCAGGACCACTCTGCCTGGTGGCAGTGGCACTCAGCAGGTGATGCAGAGAGTCATAATGTCAGGCTGACCAAAGGCACCTGTCCCCTCTGTCCCTCCGCACCCGGAGCCATGCTTGCTCTTCCATGTGCTAACCTTCTCTTTCATCTCTCCTCTCCTTTCTCCTACCATCTGCTGGACCTCGACTCTGCAGATGTCCCACCTCCTCTATTGAGATGGGAGAAGGTGTTGGACAGGAAGTCCCTACTGCGGTCTCCAGGTCTCCAGGTGTTCCTCCTTCCTTTATTTCCACAATCTGCAACAGGCCCCCGCTGGCATCTTTCCCTCCTCCTGTAGCACTGGAGCTCATGGCCTTCCCATAGAATGCCTGCCCGACCCCCTTGCCACCAGCCCTAATTCCAGGGGCTCTTCCCTTCAGCTCAGCTCTTTGTATTGGCTCAATCATCAGGATAGGTAAACAAACTCTGATGCCCCACCCATGACCTACTAATGCAAATGCCTCCGGAACTGTGCTGAGCTGCTTTGTTGCTGACTTTCTCACCTTGCTTACCTCATCTGCCTCATCTTCAGCCTCTGCCAGGGCTTGCCAAGATCACCAGTAACTTTTGTCACCAAAGGGTTTTTTGGGGGACTTGGCTCACCTGACCTCTTGCCATGTAAAACACTTAAGTCCTTCCCTTTTGAATAAGTTTCTTTCCTAGACTTCCCCACCTACCTCCAGGGGATATCTATTGTTAATAATAATAATAATAATAATAATATCATTATTATTACTATTGTCGGGCGTTTGCCTTGCACGCAGCCAGCCCGGCCAACCGGGGTTCAATTCCTCCACCCCTCTCGGAGAGCCCGGCAAGCTACTGAGAGTATCTCGTTCACACGGCAAAGCCTGGCAAGCTATCCATGACATATTTGATATGCCAAACACAGTAACAACAAGTCTCACAATGGAGACATTACTGGATCCGCTCAAGCAAATTGATGAACAATGGGAGGATAGTGCTACAGTGCATTATTCACAGAGGGTAGGGCATTTGCCTTACGCGGACAACCCAGGTTTGATTCCTTTGCCCGTCTCAGAGAGGCTGGCAAGCTACCAAGAGTATCTCGCCCATACAGCAAATCCTGGCAAGCTAGCGGTGACGTATTCGATATGCCAAAAACAGTAACAAGTCTCAGAACTTGTTGTGAGATGTTACCGGTGCCTGCTTGAGCAAATAGATGAACAATGGGAGGACAGTGCTACAGTGCTCTTATTATTATTATTATTATTATTATTATTATTATTTTGCAATGCTCAGGGACTGCCTCTGAGTTAATGCTCTGGAGTGACCCCTGGAGGTGCTGGGGACACCATATTCAGTGCCAGGGAATTCAAACAGGATGCAAGACCAATGCCTTACCAGATATGTTTTCTCTCAGGCCCCAGATACCCACATACTAAATTCTGGTTG